CTTGCGTGGAGAGCAATGTGGATATATTTGGGGCTGATATTGGGTTCAATGATGAAGACGAGGCGGTTCCGCAACGTACAAGCGATTGGGTAGCCTCTTTTGAGAAGAGCCTGTGGAGAGCCTTCAACAACAGGAGATTGCTTTCAAGCTGATTATGGGATAAAGTGCAGATTGATCTTAAGCTTTTGTAACAAATGAGGGCCATCGCAATTCGCAAAGGAGCAACTCCAATCAATGTTGGCTTTCCTAAAGGTAAAATTCATGGGTATCCATCCTTTTGGTTTCGAATTTATTGATGTCTTGATGAAATAACTATAGAGATGAATGAAAAAATTTGGTTAAAATGTTTGGGTTTGTTGGCAGATATGGAAGCGTGACTGGACGGAACAGGGGCAGTTACTGAAAGTTAGAATCAATACAGAGCTGTCGGTTTACCAAGCTGCAGCGGGGTTACAAATCAAGAGTCTTTCATCTGTTGATTTGAATGGGAAGTCATCAAAGAGGTTGTTGCATGGAACTTTGGCATTGTTGATAGAAGCTGCTGAAGCATGTTTATTCTGTGTCTGGCAAAAGTTGAGAATTTGTGATGAGCTCTTCAGCTCATTGCTTGTTGGGATTTCCTAAATTGCTCTCACTCGATGTGGTCAGCTGCTGCATGTCTTGCTCATTCGCTTCAAACCCCTTGTGATAAGTACTGTGCTCGGGTACATTATTTGTTTGCTTCGGGCTATCTCCTACAGCTGGGGCGTATCTTGGTAACATGATTCTGCAATATGTTGCACTTTTTGGATAAACTTTCATTGTAATATATATATTTTTTCAAACAGGCAGAGACTTGGGGCAGATTTTCTAGGACCTCTACTTCTTGCTGTGGCTGAAATATGTTCAGATTTTGATCCTACTGTATATGTGGAACCTGCACTTTTGAAGCTATTTCGCAATTTGTGGTTCTATGTCACTCTCTTTGGGTTAGCACCTCCAATACAAAAAACTCTATATGTGGTAAGTCAGTTTCCCATAATTTGAATAGTGTGGGGAGCATGGGTGCAATTGATCTTCAAATTGAAAGTGTTATTTTATGAGTCTCTTTTGTCTAAATGTTTGTGCTGTAGTTTTTCTACTAGTCATTATTCAAGGCATAAAACTATTCTGCTGCCAATTACTTCTTTACAATATTTTATGTCTTACATTTTTTGTGCCATAACTCAATGTGACAATTACTTGAATTTTTGTGTCAATTACTTGCTTATATTATTTTATTTCTTAAATTTTTTTGCTATGATTCAATGTGTAATATTGCTTATTGAATGCAGTACCTTAAAGATGGAGGAAAAACCAACCTATTAAAATTTGGGAGGCTCATAAAGCGGCAATCCAAGAGGTTGGTTTATCTTTGGGTATTGTGTAGTATTTATTTTGCGGTATGATTTTTTTAGCGTTTTCTTTTCTCTTCTCGTGAAGTTTTTAATTATCATTCTCGATCTTCATCCTTTGCTTAAGATTTCTTGCAGTTATCGAACTACAAAGGCACTGATGTTAAAACTTGAAGATCCTACACCATATTGCTTTGGATACAAATGAACAATGGCGGTTTTGTTTATGGTAATCCAGGTTTAAGTGACAACTCTGCACATACTTTTGAAGAGCATACAGGTCGGCTCCTTGCATGTTTACATTTTTATTCCCTTTGAATATCTTTGAGTAGATGTTCTATTTTTCATTTTTAAATATTAATAATGTGTTTTCTTAACAATTGTGGTAGTTGTTTGAAAGTTTTCACTGGTAGTAATTATCGTATTTTAGATGATCTTTAAATTTGTAAGTTGTGAAAAAGAACACACTAGTTTTCAGACCCTAATTGACTAGGATGCAAAAATGAACATGTCTTGGTGGCATCTTGCATCAGGACACCTCATAAATTCAAAGTAACGCGATGTAGCTAAGGCGTTCGACAAAAGTCCAGATGCTATGTCCTAGGCTCTCGTTGTTATGTTTTTGCAGTTCAAAAGATGTCCGCTAAAGTCACTTTGAAAAATCTCCGTAAAGCATAATAAGGGGAGGAGATAGTTGAGGGGCACCAAGGGTCTGGCTAGCCTTGTGCCCCCAGGCCTTGGCACCGTTAGGCAAAATATAAGTGTGTCTATGTTTCTTAGGTGTATTATTAGTATATGAGTGTGTTTCTTTGGTGTATGAGTGTGGGTGGACGGAGCATATGTTTTGCTTTTTTTTTGGGGGGTATATTAGTGTGTATTAACACGGTGTGTGGGTGTGCATACATATGCTGATTAGCTGGGTTGTGTGTGTGTTTTAGTTTAGGTGAAACCGAGATAGATTCTCTTCTGTTGCTTTGGCTTCTTTCGAGAAAGGAAAAAGTCTCAGCTCAGCAACTGATTGTGGATTTTTCTTTTCTTTTGCGGCATCCCTGCAGCCTTCTTTCTTTTTGATCTTCTTATACTACCCCCTTTTTCTGATCTATTGCGTCGACCTTTGCTTTCGGTTCCGGATTAGCCCTTTCGTCTGACTCTTTTCCTTATACCAAAAAAAATATCATAAAACTATGAAAAATACTGGGAAACATTAATTTTATTATTTTATGATATGTTATTCTTAATGTTCCCCGGTATTTTTCATAGTTTTATGATATATTTTTTTTGTATATTAATGGATTTTTTTATTAATGTGTGTGTTTTTTAGTGTTTTAGTGTCTGTGTGCATTTGCATTCGTGTAATAACGTGTGTTTATTTTATATTAGTGTCTGTGTTTTTGGTGGATTAGCTTGTGTTAACACTACTTGTGATGGAATGTCTACATTTTTGTGTGATTTTAGATGGTGTATTAGTGTGTTTGTGTTTGTGTAATAGTGTGTTTTGGTATGTTGGTGTCTATGTTTTTTGATGTGTTATGTGTATATTTTGGTGTATAAGTGTTTGTTAACACAACGTGCGTGGGTGTGTATTTATTAGTTTGTTTATGTGTGTTTGTTTTAGTGGTGGTGTGCGCATATGCGTGTATTTGTGTAATAGTGTATGTACGTGTGTGTGCGTCTTTGGTGTGTTAGTGTGTATTTTTTTGGTGTATTAGTGTGTGTATATTTTTTGATTTAAGAGGACGGTGTGTTTTCATTAGTGTAAGTGTATTCTTTTAATCAATGTGTTATTGTGTGCGTTTTTATGTGCACAATGTGTATTTATTTTTATCAGTTATTTTTGGTGTATAGGTTTTTATGTTTATTGGGTGTGGTCGTTGGCGCGTATGATTTTATGATAGTATGTCTGTATCTTTCTTATCTGGAGTGTTTTTGTGTTTTGATGTGTATAACGTGTTTGTGTGTGTGGTTATTACTCTATTTTTTTTATGTTATCGAAGTGTTTGTGTATGTGCCTCCTTATGTGTCTGTGTTTTTATTTTTATTATGTGTATCTTTGTTATTATGTGACTATTTTAAAGTTTTTGACTCTTTGGGAGGCTTACAAAGCAATAATCTACCAGTTATGAAGTTATCTTTAGGCAAGTTTTTTGCTGGTGAACATGATGTTGCTTAATTTAAGATAGGATTGTGTAAGTTTTTTCATTCTCTTTTTTTACACTTGTCAAACTATAATTTGGATAGGAATGGCTGATATGAATTTTTGTTAATGATAATGCAAGTTCTAATGAGCTTTGGAAGGGGAGGACGATTGCATACATTCATAGGGAATACAAGTTTGTTTTCTTGCATGTCTACGTGACTTTCTTTTGCATATATTTTAGTTAAAATGTAATGATTTTTATTTTTCCTTAGTAATTGTTTGTGGGGGGCGATAGAAATATGATTTGGTCTTTACCGTAATTGGTCTATTGTTCATCATTTAAGGTATGTGACTCCAATGTTGTCAATTCATTCCTTACAATTTTTTGTTCTTTAAAATTGTTATGCCATTTTACTATTGTGTAACGAGTTTAGATATTCCCTATTTATTGCAGTACATTAAGGCAATGGAAGAGATGCCAACTTGTTGAACTTTGGGAGACACTTACAAGGCAACAATCTAAGCAATTATGAAGTTCCTCTTAGGCGAGTTTTCTATGGGTGAACATTATTTTTGCTTTTGATTTGAGGTATGATTGTGTAAACTTCTTTCTTACTTCTCTTCTCTTTTTTTGTCAGTGACAATGCAAGTTTTAGTGATACAATTTTAAAGCTTTGGAAATAGAGGACATGTGTGCATACCTTCGTAGGGCGTACGGGTTCGTTTTCTTTCTTGTTTACGTGACTATTTCCTTTACATGTATTTTATTGCGTAAGATAGTTTCTATTTAAAATACTTACGATTTATATTCTTCCTTACTAATTGTTTGTGGGGAGGAGAGGAAGGGAGGAGATAGAAATATGGTTTGGTCTTTGCTATAATTGGTCGACTTGTCATAATTTAAGGTTTGTGGCTCCTCTATAGCCAATTACTTCCTTACAGCTTTTTGTTTCTTAAAATTTTCATACCGTTTAACTACTGTGTCACGATGTTAGATATACTCTGTTGATTGCAGTACATTAAAACACTTGAGAAGACACTAACTTGTTGAACTTTGGGAGTCTTACAAGGCGGCAATCTAAGCAGTGATGAAGTTACCTTTAGGTGAGCTTTTTACTGGTGAATATTATTTTGTTTGATTTGAGGTATGATTGTGTTAGGTTTTTTCTTCTCTTTTTTGTCTTTAACCTTTAAATTCTTGAGTATCTTTCCTATGATCTCAACGATCAACTTATGTTCTTTGGTTTGGATTTCTCATAGTTATCAAACTATGTTTTGGATAGAAATGACCGATGTGAATTGTTGTCATTGGTAGTGCAAGCTCTAATGATGCAACTTTATGGAAAGAGAGGACATGTGTGCATACCTTCGTGGACATACAGGCTTGTTTTCTTTTCTGTCTACGTGACCATTTCTTTAGCATATACTTTAATGCATATGATAGTTTCTATTTATAATGCTTTTGATATATATTTTTCCTTAGTAATTGTTTGTTTGTAGTTTTTTTTTTGGGGGGGGGGATTCGTAAAAATAAGGTTTGGTCTTTTATATAACCTATATATCATTATTTAAGGTTTATTATGACTCCTCTGTTGCCAATCACTTCCTTACAATTTTTTATTCGTTAAAATTTTAATGCCTTTTAACTGTTGTGTCACAAGGTTAGATATTGATTACAATACATTAAGAAGGGGGAGGCTTTCAAGGCAGTAATCTTCCAGTTATGAAGTTATCTAGTATGTGTATATATGTGCTTGTTGAATAAGTGAGTGGACATGTCACTCGTTCTTTTTTTTTCTTATTGCTCTTTGTTGTTTCGAAGGTTTTTTTAATTTTTTTTGTACATAATTAATTTAATGTGTCTTTCTTTCAGTTGTTTGTAAAATGGATGCTAGCTTATGAAGGAATAAGGGGTTAAACTGGATTGAGATGCATTTGCAAAGCAAATTTAGGAGTGAAAAGATAAGTATATGAGTTTCTCCCGCTTCAATGGCTTTTATTTTTTTTGCAAATTGTATTTTACAGATGATTTTTTTTCCCTTTGTCTTTCTTACTTGTTATAATCATTCTTGTATAATAGATGTTAGATGCTCAGCATTCTCCTCCTTCTGATACCACTAACAACACCTACTTACTCCAGGAATGCCAATTTGCTCAACTCTATCATCCAGAGGTAAAGCCTTCATTAAAATCTTCCAACCTACTAGCTGAGCACTAGGAGTAGGGGCAGTCTGAATATCCCAAATGCCAGCAGCAGTAGCATTCAAACCTCTTCTTCAACCTACTCTTCTGCTAAGCTGCTTTAACTGAGAACAATACTCAGCACATACTGAACAAGTAAAATCCTACCCATAACATCCTTGCATACCATCCTTCTAACCTTTGCCTAAACTTAA